AGAATCTAAACGAAGTCCTGTGGAAACCAAGAAAGAATACGATTGGATAAGCTTTTAAAGTAATGTTGACTGCCTCTCAATTTACTGACTTATTCAACAGTGACCACTAAGTAATTCCATATCATGTAAAAAACTTTACAGAAACGTTTATATGGCAGAGGGTATCTTGTCTAAAAACCAATATCTTGTAAGAAGAAAACAATGTGATCAAAACTGAAAAAAAAACTTTTTATATACGTTTTATGGATTTTCTTTTCACACAGCCCGACATATGAGTAAAACTTGCACATAGTAAACATGATCAGTTGTATACGCTTTTTCTTACATTATCTCGTGTATATTTAAATAGCTAAACACTTCAATGCAGAATTAATTATCATTTTGTATCAAGTTACTACTGCTTGAAAAGACAATAAAATACTGAAATATGTTTTCCTTTTTGTTTAAACAAAGTTTAATACTAGATAATTCTGATATTAATAACAAAATAATGTATAAATATAAAAAAGAGTATAGTTGGAGAGAAATACTATACCGTCGATACAACTTCAGTTGTATGTGTATAATAGATTTATATACCAAAGTGTTATTTTTTTCCTCAAGCGGATCAAAATTCACGTAGAAATATTTGAAAACGTAAAATATTACTCGTGAGGCTTACAAAAAGAGAGAGAGAAGGACCTCTGCGTGAGTAGGATTTGTACATCAACGATAATATTACTTTAAAACGATCAAAATAGTTCACGTATACAATTAAATATATTTTTATACTATTCACATTCATATTAAGTAAGAAAAAATAAGTTAGACTGCTCTATGAGAAATGTGGTTCTAATGTCACGTAAAGCAGTCATTCAGAAGTTTCTTAGTTAATTTTAATCATTCAGTAATCTGAAAAAGAGTTTTAAACGTGAATTCAAACGCGGGCTAAAGGACGAGATCAGCGACCGCTAGGGTTCAGGTACAGATGTCCCTAATTCTGAACTGGCCAAAAGGATAGCAGCAAGACAGCAGTACCTGCCGCTACAGTAGCTTTTGAATCAAAACCTATCCTATTTAAAATGATTGTTTGTTTGTTGTAAGCACAAAGCTATACAATGGGTTATCTGTGCTGTGATCACCGCAGGTATGGAAACCAATTTTTAGCGTTATAGGTCCTCGGACTTACCTATAAGCCACCGAGGTGTGATTTACAATGGAAAAAAGGATTATAGATGTAATAAGAACACTTTTGCTATGCCTTGAGAAACCTACAAATATAAGTGAAACTATACTCTCCAATCTGATGTGCTTTTCAAATAAATACATTTTTGTTTATATTCTTACTTTTATGTATATAATTATTTTATTTATATTGAAAAATTAAAAACTATTAGAAATATTCAAGATGGTACACTGGCTATTTTCGAAGTGAAAACTGGACCATCTGTTTGTTTGTCTTAGAATTTTGCGCAATAAAAGGAATAACTGCGCATAGCCGTCCCTAATTTAGAACTGATAGAGGAAGGCGGCTAGTCAACTCTTGGACTACTAATTAATGATCGAATAGTAGGATTTGACCGTAATTCTTATGACTCACCAGAGGACCCACTACTTGATGACCTTCTTCACTACCCGTCCCTAATTTAGAATTGATGGACTAAACGTAAAAGCATCTAGTCAACGCCACCCAGCGCCAACTCTTGGGCTACTCATATCAAAGAGTGGTCCAAGGCTACTGAAAGGGCGAACATGTTCAGTGATGGGAGTTAAATCCGCGACTCACAGATCACGAGTAAGGTGCCCTAACCACCAGGCCACGCTTGGCCAAGGACAAACCAAGACAAGCTTACAACATCTGCCCAATTAGCATGGTTATGAGTTCAAATCCCGCTGATTCTCTGTTTCAGAACGATTGATAAATACATACAAGTTTATATTTGAGAAGGCAGATAGATTCCAAGTTAGCGTGGATAGGGGTCGAAGTCCGCTGGCTCTAACTTCAACGAAAGGGTTAACAAATATGTGTGATTTACGTCAGTAAATAGATTATAAAAAGGTGTATGATTTAAGTTGTTTAAGGGATATAACGTAAACATGTAAAGTCTGAAATTCTCAATATAACTAATCACAGTACCGTAATATAAACTTTTGAAGGTATAAATGAAGCACGAAAGAAAGAGACCGCTTGTATGTGTGAGCGAAACAAAAGTTATTTACTAAGCAAATGGATTAATGTTACAAACAGATTATAAAAGCGCATCAGTAAAACAAAACAATTCAATACAATCTAACAACATTCCGCAACAAAATGTAATGGTGAAATATACTTTGTCTTACCGCAAAACGGGACTGAGTTAATGTATCCATGTTCCGCGACCCAAGAACAGGAGTAGAGGGGGCGCTGCCTCTACGGTCTGAGCAGGCTTTTTCATACGACGATTCTGCAAAGGACAAATGTAATTGGTAAAAAAAAAAAAGTTACATTTTCTACGACACGACGTAACAACATATATTCAATTAACTATTAATAATAACTGATAAACCAAACAAGCTACAAAGACAGTTAGGACTTCTTATGCCTTAAGGACTTTTTGCTGTTTCTAAAGATTCTAGATCAACAACACAGATTTCAGATTGTTCACAAAACCTTTAGTGTTAATTAATTAGTCTTAAAGTCAAATGGAAATTTTATAATTAAGATATCGTAAGTTTCGCATAATCTTTAATGACAATGTAAAATGTTTATAATGTTTGGGGATTTTCTTGTAAAAATCCATCTCGCAATTACTGTAGGTTACCCATCAGACATCTCAGTTAAGGTTATTTATACAGGGTAAATATAAAGAAAACTCAATATTTAAAATGATTATGTCTTAAAAAAAAACTAATTGTCCTAAGATGGATTAATTTTCTCCAAAGACGCACAGAATCATAAGTTGAATTCAAGGAAGTTTGAACAGATGTTCAATATGCTTTCTGACATTCTCAATCAAAACGTCAGGCCTAACCTTAAATTTGTCAACTGAAAGCATCATCTGTTTATTGATCCTCGCAAATCCTGCACAGTGGCACATGTTTTATTCAAATCACTAGTATCGTATTATTGAAAGAAAAGTAAAAGTAGAGATAGTTTGGGAGAAAAACAATATTCACTATAATATGGTTTTGAAACGTCTAAATTGTTCTGAATAAAAAAAAAAAAAACTCTTATGATTTTCAACAGAAATCTAGTGAAGTTTTGTTCCTCTAGCAGGTTTTAAGAAATAATCATCTTAAATATGAGGTTTTTCTTCATAATCACACTGAATATGGAAATATTATTTATGGAGGTTTAAAACAATAATGAAAGAAGAGGACCGCGTGTTAATTAACAAAAACGAACGTCAAATTACCACTAAATAAAGCTCAGTTGGAAATTTGAGAGGCAAACATCAGGCCTATAACGTAAACCACGACCTCCTTTAGAATGTTTACGTCCAGACTAGTCTATATACTGCCATAGAAATATCGTTATATATGCATATCACAGTTCCACTTTAGCGACAGTGTTTGAAACCCAATCATTCTCGTACTTTGACGCCTTTCACTGTACATTTTTTTTTTTTTGCTTAAGATGAGCTTACTTTTTTATGCGATAAAAAAACAATGACAGGAATCAACCTTATACCACGTGTAATTAAACATGCGTATATGAAAAAGTTCGTTTCTCTGTGGACGAAGCAATGAATGCTCAAACAACGCTGACGTTATAAACATACCAGGAACACTTCGGTTATAAATAAATGCAAAGTAAAAAAGAAAAAGAAACTATGACGTTACCATGATTCGACTTAGAGTGAAAAAATCCTTGCTTACTAAAAAACCCGTCAGAGTTGATTCTTCTCCTAATTCGAACTACGCGTTCTGCAGCTGGGGCAAGAATAGGTGCAATTAGTTAAGAACTGAAAGTTTTTATTATTACCCAAAACTATTTCCTTCACAACAGAACACAAAGTTTGATGTAAACATGTGAAGGCCAAATGGTATGCGCGGCAGGTTACAAACACGAAATAGAACATATCTATTTACTCAGTATACAATATAAAAAACCTCCTAACCGATGTTAGAAAAATATTTACAAGGTGTATTGATATTCTCTAAGTATTTTTGTTGTTGTTTTCTTGTGGTTCTTTTTCACTCGCTTGGTAGAATCTGTGATGACCTAATACGTTAATAACCAAACCATAAAGGCAATCAGAGACGCTTATGAAATTTCAAGCAGCATAAAAGTCAGAATGACAACTTAATCGTGACTTCATTAGGGATACATTTTATACGAAATTAAAAAAAAACATCATTAATACAACAAAACCGTATTCTGTCCATGGGTACTGAAGTTTAAAAACATATTTTCACCGTACGTATAATACTTATCAGTATGAAAGTATTCAGAAAATGAATATTCTGATATATTACTCTTGAAAGATGTACTAGCCTTATTAATAACAAAAATAAATAGAAATAGATTTGAGGAAAAAGGTTGAATTCTTTAAGATAGATTATCAAAATATGCAGTAGTAGTGCAGCATCAACATCAAATATATATGGTAAATGTATTTAATTGTATCCATGAAAAATATGGGCCTTCCATCGGTCGTGAAAAAATACAACCTAAAAGGAGAGTGAATAACAAAGATTACTAATTCATGATATTATAGATATTTTCTTCACCGCAGAGAAGCAGCCAGCATTTTCTGTGAACCCAATATATAACCAACGTTTTACTTACCTAACAATATACTTCCTAATTAGGCAATTAACTCGGGGAATAAGGTGACCAAGATGTAAAAATTCGAAATTCTGGATTTCAATATATATTAAACTACATCATTATATTCGGCAAAATGTGTACTTTTTTTATGGATTAAATGTGCTTTAGAACACAGTATCGATTTTGAACAATGGTTGTCTCCAGGGAAAAGTTTTAAATCATTCGCAGTAGGCTTGATGGCATGACATAGTCAAACCGCTAAGACTAAAACGGTAAAACACAGGAGTCTCAAAACAGATGTAGGCATGATACATCATCATACTTAACATCTGTGTTCCATGTGTATACCGTCTTTACTCAGTACTGACTACGTGATGAGCGGAACTTTTGGATATGAAGATGGAAAGAGTTTATTTGTATACTAACAACGCGCAACTAGATTACAATAAGGTACTTCTCTCTCTTTCATTAAATGCAGTTTTTTATGGCATGTTCACTTTGTCAAACTGTATACTTCAATGATCAAAATATCAAGAATAATTTCAACACACCCTTAAAAAAAATTGAAACTAACCGAATCCTTGCGAGCTTTTGATGTTATGGCAAAATAACAAAAAATAAATTAATCCTCTGTACTATAACAATGGGAAGAATTGTGATAATGAAACAAATAAATTTGGAATGTACAATTTGAAAAAATATAGTACAATTAACAAAACAAAAATACAATGACTGAATCCAAAATATACAACAAGTGAATATCTCATGTTCTCCTCGTGTCAATATAACTGCAAGAGCTGGATGTGACTAACAGGTTATTGCGCTCGAACTGTGAATTCGCACTTTGGAACCGAGAGTGCGATTTAAAAGTGAATTGTACTATTCAGTTCAAGAAGAGTAACCCAAGAGTTGGCGAGGAGCGTTGTTGGCTAATGCCTTCCATCTAGTCTATCAGTTCAAAATTAGGAACAGCTATGTGCAGACAGCCCTTGGGTAACTTCACGCGAAATTTGTAAACAAACATATGACTGAGAAGTAATTATACCGCTTGGCCTCATCGTTGCTAATTAACCCCCATCCAAAACAGAGTCTGTATAAAGTTCCTAAACTGCTAACTGTAAAAGAAACAAGACAGAAAGTCTGTTTAACGTGTGGTAATCATGCAATGTGGCTACGCATGTGTTCTATCGCCACACTAAGGCGATAACTAAAGTAAAACGTATGAATACGCGTCAGGAAGTTCCCAGAAATAAAGACCAATATAAAGAGTACTGAAACCCAATTCCTTACCAGGCAATTAATCTTCATTGATGGATCTCCCAGATACAAAACTATCATGTGTTAATATCTTACAAGCTCTGGTTCACAGAACCCTGTAATGCAAGCGGTTGCTTTGGCTTGGTTGTTGTTAAGCGCATAGCTACACAATGGGCTATTTGTGCTCTACCCACCAGGAGTATCGAAGCCCGAGTTGTAGCGTCGTAAGCCAGCAGTCTCATCACTGAGCCACTCGTGGAAGGGGGGGGGGGGGCGTTAGCACCCTACAACTCTAATCATTTCTAAGACATGTTGGTCCAAAGAGCAAAACCACAACTGTGCATAACAGGATTTACTAGGCTTTGTTGATAGACTTAAGTAATAACCGACAAGTAAATAAAATTACTGTTAACTAGAAATTTGAACAAATACACTAGAGGAAAGGCAATCGGTGTACAGTATCCACCGCTAACTTGTCTCTGATCGAAAAGTAGGATTTGACCATCACTCTTATAACGCACTAACGGCACCAAAGTGCGGAGCAAGTTTATTTTTCTTCTTTTTTGCGCCAACTGAACGCGAATCACGATCCCTCAGATTCACAGTCTGGACATACTAACCACTAGATAAACACCGGCCCATTAGAATTAATAACGGTTGAAAAGCTGAACTATGTTACAAAACAAAAGAGTTCAATATACTCTACACTGCTATACTATATTTGCCTAAAATAACATCTACCTTCTAAATTTGTGTTTCAAATAAGCAATGGAAAATTTGACAGAATTTCATATTGAAACAGTAAACGGTCTTTAAATTTGTGAGGTCGGAATTATAAGTACTGTTCCTCTAAACACAAAGAAACAAAAACAAGAAAGATAGGTGTATGGTGGGAACCCAAAGTAATCAAAATTATCCTTACACAAACTAGTTAAGTCAGCTTTAACAGAAAAAAAAAATGTCATTACGAAACCTCGTGACTGCCCTCAAATCAAATGTTTTATTACTTCAGGGGAGCATTTATAAACTCTACAAAGACCTATATAATAGACAGAACCAAGACAATAAAGTAATTAGTCTGTGAAATAATCTCTTTACAGAGTTTCAAAGAGCGGCGACAGTGGCGATTCCATGCTGTTTTAAGTTCTACATCACTGACAGAGAAAAGTTGATTATAATACGTAAGTAAATTCGTACAGCGGAACAGAACAGATAATTATGAAACTGGGGGAAAATAATCATTACTAAAGAAGTAATTCTTACCACTTGTTTCATGCTCTAATAGCTAATCTTAATTGACTTTTTATCACCAAAATCTAGTTTGGTGACATCTGAGCATATACATCTTTCACTAACGTGACATAAAATATTGGGTGACTGACTATTCGGTCTTTGTCAACTCATTATGTAACTTCTTTTCCTTTACTAATTTAA